GGTAGCTCAAAGAGAAAAAATGTGACAATGAATATATGTATGTTCATGTATAACTGAAAAATTGTGCTCTACTCTGGAATTTGACACAACATTGTAAAATTATTTTAAACCAATAAAAATGTTAAAAAAAAGAAAGAAATGATAGAATGGGAGTTCAAAATTTGTAGATACTGACAGGCATATGTAGAATAGATAAACAAGATTATTATGTATAGCACTGGGAAATATATACAAGATCTTGTGGTAGCTCACAGCGAAAAATAAATGTGTCAGTGAATATATGCATGTTCCTGTATAACCAAAATACTGTGCTCTACACTGGAATTTGACACAACATTGTAAAATGACTATAACTCAATTTAAAAATGTTTAAAAAAAATAAAGTGCAAACACAACCCACATAATGCAAGAAAATATGTGCAAATCATGTATCTGGTAAAGAGCTTATATCTAGAATATATAAAGAACTGTTATGATTCAATAACGAAGAGACAAACAGCCAAATTTTTTTAATTGGGCAAAGGATGTAAATAGACATTTCTCCAAAGAAGATATACAAGTGGCCAAAAAGAAAAAAAAATATGAAAAGATGCTCTACATAATTAGTCATCAGGAAAATAGAAATCAAAATAAAAATGAGATACCTCTTCACACTCACTAGTATGACTTGAATCAAAAAGTCAGATAATAAGTGTTAGTGAGAATGCAGAGAAGTCAGAACCCTCATACAGTGCTGGTAGGATTGTGAAATGTTGTAGCCACTTTGGAATACAGTCTGGTAGTGCCTCAAATTATTATGCAAGAATTACCATGTGACCCAGCAATTCTAGGTATGTACCTAAGAGAAATTAGAACATATGTCACACAAAAATTAGTACATAATTGTTTATAACAGCATTATTCATAATATTCAAAATGTGGAAATGACCTAAATGTCCATCAATAAATGAAAGGATAAACAAAATGTGTTATATGCACATAAAATTTGGCCATATGAAGGAATGAATAATTGATACATCCTGCAACTTAGATGAACCTCAAAAACATTATGCTGTGTTAAATAGAAGACAATCATAGAAGTCCACATAGTATATGATTCCATTATTATGAAACTCCAAAATGGGTAAATCTATAGAGACAGGAAGTAGATCAGTATTTGGTTAGGGCAGGGTTGGGAGATGAGTGAGTGTATAGATAAAGAGTATAGGGTTTCTTTCTGAGGTGACATAAATGTTCTAAAATTGAATATGGTGTTGATTGCACATATCTATGAACATACTAAAAACACTGAATTGTACATTTTTTGTTTTTTATTAAGTTATAGTCCGTTTACAATGTTGTGTCAATTTCCAATGTAGAGCACAATTTTTCAGTTATACAGGAACATACATATATATTCACTGTCTCATTCTTTTTCACTGTGAGCTACCACAATATCTTGTATATATTTCCCTGTGCTACACAGTATAATCTTGTTTATCTATTCTACATATGTCTGTCAGTATCTACAAATTTCAAACTCCCAGTCTCTCCCTTCCCACTCACCTCCCCCCAGCAACCACAAGTTTGTATTCTATGTCTGTGAGTCTGTTTTTGTTTTATATTTATAATCATTGGTCTTTTTCTTTTATTTTATTTTATTTTTTTAGATTCCACATATGGGCAATCTCATATGGTATTTTTCTTTCTCTTTCTGGCTTACTTCACTTAGAATGACATTCTCCAGGGACATCCATGTTGCTGCAAATGGTGTTATGTTGTCAGTTTTTACAGCTGAATAGTATTCCATTGTATGAATATATCACTTCTTCTTTATCCAGTCATCTGTTGATGAATATTTAGGCTATTTCCATGTCTTGGCTATTGTAAATAGTGCTGCTATGAACATTGGGGTGCAGGTGTCATCCTGAAGTAGGGTTCCTTCTGGATATGTTCCCAGGAGTGGGATTCCTGGGTCATATGGTAAGTCTCTTCTTAGTCTTTTGAGGAATCTCCATACTGTTTTCCACAGTGGCTGCACTGCATTCCCACCAGCAGTGTAGGAGGGTTCCCTTTTCTCCACAGCCTCTCCAGCATTTGTCATTTGTGGACTTTTGAATGATAGCCATTCTGAATTGTACATTTTAAGTGGGTGAATTTTATGGTAGAGTTATACCTCAATAAAGCTGTTTAGAAAGAAACAAAAAGAAAACTCAGTTTTGTAACTTTACTGAATTAAAGTATAAGATTCTACAGAAACTCTCTAATAATAACCTTTCCTTGGAGTAAAACATCAGAACTTAAAGAGAGGC